GTATGAAAGTATATGGTGAACAGATTCTTAGATCGACGGCATATTCACGGTGGTCTATTTTAGTTCGATTTAACTGTGACGTTAATGTTGATGACCTTGAATCACTCTTCTTCCGTTCATATGGACATATACCAGGCTTTCATGTCTTGGCATAAGGTGATGAAGCACCTGCAGTTGTTTTCATCCCCAATAATATAAGTGAGCCTCACGATGCTAGTGTATTTCATTTAAATTTATCTCCTAATAAGTATTCTAATTCAGAGTCCACTGCAGTTTTGATCTCACCTGGATCTCATTGACACTTCCAATAGGATTCAAACGAGATCAGTGCTGCATCAAGACCGGATCTTATTCTTGTGACAGCTAACACCCAATCAAGTAACCCAACCTGCTCGTCTTCGCATATTATATTTACTTTATCATTGTCACCTGACCTAAGAAATGTTTCTCGATGACTGCGTCAGCCTGAGTATCTCAGTAAAGAATCCGCTGTAGTCGGCTCAGCAGTTAGATATTCATCAGTTTTAGCAATTAAGAAAAGAAAGAGAACAATAGCTGGGTCAAAGATTAGCTTAACCGGATGTTTTTGATATTTTTCTTAACATTTTTCCATGCTGTAAGTTAAAATATTTTCTTTTAAGGCATCACCAAAAGGAGTTTACTTTTCAAAAATAGATGACTCAAGGTCATTTCACTTGCCATTCACGACAAGTGATTCTTCATAGTTTTAAAATAAATTGCTCGTTTGTAAACTGAACTGTTCTTGAATACGAAGTGTTTGTCTGGAATTATTTGCAAGCTTTGCGACTTGATTTAGCAATCGTTGTGTTAATTTGTAAGAACTATTTATCTTTTCTATGATTTGTGAATCTAGGGTATGATTTTGGCTTCTCCTAAGTTGGAACCTCGAGCATGTTGGAAATTCACCGCTGAGGTGCTCATTTTGCATCATCCTACCACCATCTGGACCGGTTATCAGGCGATGGTTCACGCTGGGCCAATCCGACAGACTGCCACTATCATTGAAATTAAAGGATGTGATCGCTTGCGTACCGGTGACAAAGATGAGGTCCGCTTTCAATTTATCAAGCAGCCCGAATATCTGAAGAAGGGCATGAGACTCGTGTTTCGTGAGGGCAAGACAAAGGCAGTCGGTTAGTTGAGACATTTGGATTTTTATTTTTCTATTCATATGGTGATAAGCCGTTGTTTCTATTATCAATACTTTGATTAAATTACTAAAGAAGTTGTAAGCAATCAATTCTTATGCCAATTTACAATAGTCCTTACAACAAAGGCTATACTATACCTTTTTTGAGCTCCTATAAATCCTGTCAAACAATCCTTTCATCTTAAATTTATTGCTTAAATTCTGCGAGTAGAATAAAATACTCCCTATTGCGTGACTGAAGTAAATGTATGGTGCTGTTTGAGCTCAGTTTCGCAAATACCAACCATGGGGATTTTATCGTAGATATGAAAACCAAGATGTGTGGTCGTAGTCTCCTTTAGCTTTATAATATTGGTTTGACCTTGTTTTTGCAACTTCGTCGGAGCATCAGGGAGACCTTATGGAGCGTACTTAGTTCTGTGTCCTCTGCCATAGTATTCGTGATTTCCAGCATCAGACCATTGATTTGGTGCATTCCCTTTGATTAATTTTCTGCTCAACCGTTGGGGCATCACTCCTTGCCCCTATTTTTTGTTCTACCTTCTAGTGCCGCATTTTTTTCTCCCAACCCCACTTCATATTCTCTATCTTCCTACTCACACAATTTTGTGTTTTTGTTTCCTCCCATGTCGCTTAAGACTGTGTCGCTACAGGTGGGCTTAGTGAAACGTAATCATCTCCACCACCGCTACCAAGCGCCATTTGCTGGACTCCTTACCTTCATTCATTCACTCTCTC